AGCAAAATTCCCAATTGCATGCTCCCAACAGAATGCATTTGGGTTTCAATCTCTGGGGCTGGGAGTGGTGCGCAGTTTATCTACACTTACAGGGCTTGAGAACCGGAATTGATCCTGGAAGCCTGGGTGATGTCTGGAACCTTGGGTGCTGTCTGGGCAGGGAGTGGCGCGCCTTGCCTACAGGGATGGTGTGCAGTGTTTGGGTTTTGGTGGCAGTGCTTACTGTCCCACCTTGGAACCTGTTTGGTGTTGATCTGTTTGCGCTTTAGTGATTTTGCAGGTTGTTCCCAACAACAGAATGCAGTTGGGTTTCACTCTCTGGGGCTGGGAGTGGTGGTGCAGTTGGCCACTGGCGCCCGGAATCCTATGCGCTGTTGTGTGGGAACCCTTGCTTGCCACCCTGGAACGTGCGAATGCTGCCTTGGAGCCCTTGAACCTTGGAACTCTGGGTGCCGTCAGGCGGAGGCGTTTCTTTGGTGGCGGTGTTTTCTTTCTTTGGTCCTGTTGAGACCAGCGGTGCGTTTCGAGCAACGCAGTTGGGTCGGTTTCAATGATCGGGTTTCCACCTTGGAACCCTGATTGCTGTTTGGTTATGTTAGGTCACATGCTGTGACATTGTGACCAGCCTTGGGCCCTGCTGGCTCCAGTCGCGGCCGAGAGCTTGGGGCAATGGGCAATTATGTTTCTCAGCGTGGATCGCAGATCGTTGGCTTATGTTGGCTTGATGGCCTCGGTATCGTACAGGTTGAATCGTGTTAGAGGAGTCAATGAACTGCGCGCATCGTGTTTGCAGCGCCGGGCGTCCTTTGCACGCAGTGCAAAACATGGACCGGTGCGTGCTCAGTAACGCGCCTCTATGCCGGGCACATGTCTTCGGCGCGAAGTAATTCCTTCTATGTACTGTTTGTACTCTGCGCAAAAATGCGCAAGCCGCAAAACAAGTTGGATGCGTAGCAAGGCCACATACCTGGCAGGACATTTTGCAACCGCGGCAGCTTTTGCACTTGTAGTGTCCGCTACGAAGCAGCGTTCTACGTAGCACAAAGTATAAGCACGTGCAGCAGCTGCAGGCAGTTGCACGTGCAGGACGCGTTTGCGCCGGCAACAACTCTTACACTTGTCGGGAAACGTTCTTTCTCCGCATCACAAAACATGTTTTATGCGCAGCAAGGCCACACGCAGTTGCTCGAACATAGCAGGACATTTCTGCACTGTTGCACTTGTGGTGTGCTTTCTGTCTCGGTTACGATTTAGTTTTACTACGCAGTAACAAATGCTTAGCTAGCTAGTGCTCATTGAAGGATCTGAGGGGCCCCGGGCATCCATATTTGCCATTAGGCAGGGAACCATGGAGCTAGAGGGAACACCCTTTGCTAGTGAGGATCAGCGGTAAGGCGCGTGCTTGTGTGTACCTAGCAGCAACACGCTTACGCTTTTGCACTTCTGATGCGCTTTCCTTCTACCCCCAGCTCCTGCCCAGTTCCCTGTGCATCAAACAATGGGATTTGGGCTCACTCTGGGAGCTTTAGCAACGCATGGAAGAATCCCAGTCAGCTGAGTTGCTACCTGCTGTTGTGTTGCAAATCCAAGTTACTTTCAATGGCAAAAACAAAGCAAAGCACATGCAATCACAACCTGAGACAAACCTATTGACCCCGTGCGTACCCTCGGCCTCTTTGGGTCCCATTGCTGCTCCTCTTTGCAGGCGACTTCTTCAGCTTTTGCAGCTTTGCGGCAGGATGGCACGGTGCATACCTGGGGCCTTGCGCACAAAGGAGGTGACAGCTCGGTGGTGAAGGACGCAGTATGGGCTTTCTATTTAGGGTGGAGGCAATGGTCATATAGAGGGACATGCTGCCTATTTCAGGAGTTCTGGATAGCTCTGTACTGTTTCAATGACAGAATCAAGGAGAGACAACAATCTCAATGCAATCCCCGTGGCCAACATCACCAAGACCTAAAGCCGCCCAAACCCCTTTATACTGTGGCCTTTCGCTCATGCATTCTTAAATAAACATGAACATAAAGACCAAAACCATACTATATAGTAATAAACAACATGTCGTTTAAGACTTTTAGATGTTCTTAAAGTGGTCAAAGTTCATAGTGTTTCCTTGTTTCTAGTAGGAAGGGGTATTGAGATACTTGACACAGTCCCAATCCTAAGACAAGACATAGTTACTAGATTACCTGTGGTTCAGAGAAATACATTCCGTTTTTTTGTCATACTCTTTGTGACTCCATGTTTTTCATGTTGGGTCTAGAGGTTCCTCCGCTGAATCAAGAAGTCCTGACAAGACCAAGCTTCCTTTGATCTTACGTGTATGTATATACATGTTCCTTTGAACATGATATATAGCCTATTTTGCTCACTTTTGCATAGCAGTATAGTTTTTTTTGAACGCAAACATACACAAGCACGTGTGTTGTTTGTTCTGCTACACGCCGCGTGCGTCCATTGACACAAAACAGTTGGCACAATTGGCGATTGGTTGACACATGTTAAGTTTCTAGTAGCTTCCTTGCTACTACTGTATACTTATCCCCTATCATCATTAGCTACTTAAGCTCACTATGGCCTATTCCCTTCCCAAAAACATCCTGTGGAGGATCAGCTGAATCAGATCAAAGAAATCGCCGGGTCGTATGGAGCTTTTGCTGCCTTGCGAGATGATGGCACAGTAATTACATGGGGTGATGCCAACTATGGGGGTGCCGCTTGGTACCATTGGTATCAAAAAGTAGGTTGGGGTTGGTTGAACATTGAAAGCTTGGAGTCAGACAAGGCTCACCAGGTCCAAGTGAGAATCACACAGCTTGGAGAGAGATTATATGGCATGCGGCGTATATGGTATATGTTCTTTCAACGTGCAGCGTGCGAATTCATCCATCCCATCCCAGCCGTTGTGATTCCAAATGCTGGTGCTTGCCAAAGGACAGCTCGTCTGTGCAGCCCCTGGTCGTTGACATGTACTGAGCCAGCTGCGGAGCACTGCAGCAATACAGCAGACAAGCTGTGCTGCCAGAGTTCTCCGTGCTTTAGTTGGGAGAGGTGAGTTTCAACATTCTAATCACGTCATTGGTGTCAGGGAAAAGAAACTGCTTCAGATGACGAACGTTGACATTTCCTGGAATCTTTAGCCTGGGCCTGAACTACTGTATTTGTGGGCGACAATAGAAAGACATGTGACATGTGTTGATTACCCGACATGTGCAGAATGGAGAATCCAGGTTTCCCACTTGCCAGTGCCAAAGCACATACCTAGCTTTGGGCATCACAGGGAAAAGTCCCCTGTTGGGTCTGAGTTTCAGGGTGCTTCGGTGCTTTTTGAAGGTGCCAGGGCCTTGCCGGCTATTGGCACCCAGCCAACTGCCACTGGTTCATGTCCACAGCTGAAGTCACACTTAGTGCTTCAGTACTCGTGGGTGATGGGGCAATAAGTAAAGATAGTAAAGCGAAGCCAGAGGAAGTGTCGGCAGAGCAAGATGTTTTGCTGACTTGGGCTTGTTACATCTTGCATCATTTTGCTTCTACGAAGGTGTGACACTTTATTGAAACTTTTATGCAGCCCTTACGAATTACAAATGCTGCATTCATTTATGGGATTGATTTTATGGGAAGGTGTGCCTGTTGAGTTCAGATTCGGTAGGACAAATACATATATACTCATAATATGCACGATTATGTGTGTATATATATATATATACAGTTGAAAGCTGCCTGTTCCCCTTCCTCAGCCTTGGCTTCGCTCTTTGCCCATTTACTGCAAGTTTTCGAATTCGTTTATCCTTTGCATGCTTAGCATGGTGCTGGAGTAGTCCACAAGCTATCAAAAGCTATCAAAAACAAATCGAACAAATCAAATCAACAGTCAAATCAAAGTGCAATAACCGTCACACATCCTGCCAGCTTTGTGTGGACATGTCGGCCTGCTTCAGCTTGTCAAGTCTTGTGGCAATCTTCCGGGCAGTGTCGTGCTGCAAAGTGTATGCCACCAGGTTTGGTGCAGGAGGCCCGATCCAAAATCAATCCCAAGGTTGACACCTACTTGGTGCTTTTCGCAAGTTGGGACCTCCGGAGGGGTGTAATTTATCACCACACTTCACTCAAGTTCTGCGAGCTGTGAAGATCTACGGGAAGAAGGCATTGAAGTGTTTGTCGCAGAGCTTTTTTTGAGGATGCGGTTCCCAAGCCAGTTTGGGCTTGTTGGCTCTCCCCCAGGGAGTGGCCCCACAACTCAGCTGAGCTTGCCGTTCTGGATCTTGTTGATCCCTCCGTTCCGTGGAGCACAGAGGTGGCTGTTCAAACCAATGGCCACCGAAACTCTTCAAGTTGGCGGAGAGGCTGTGGTGGGATGGAGCATGGCACAGCTTTGTCATGAAACTAAACATGATTTATGGTGACAGGGAAGCTAGTCCAGAAGTCCAGTAGGGCTTTGGTCCAAGGGGTTTAGTGGCTGAAGTACATTGACATGAAGGCCTCAATTTTCTAATCCCTCCAGATGAGCTAGACTCGGGGAGGCTGAAGTACATGAAGGGAGTAAAGGTCGCAAGTTTAAAATCTAGTGGTGGGAATCCTAGACCCAGAGCTGTTGAAACACTTGAGACTGATGGAAGAAGGGAAACCAGACTCATGGACAGAGGACTTTTGAGGGGCTTTTCTTGCGCACAGACACAACATGGTAAGCTTGGCCCAAAGGACACGAATAAAAAATCAATTTTGTTGACGAGATGCCCACTCACCCAGCAGCTCACACACATGGCAGGCCGCAAGGGTAATTAGACACCGCAAGATGGATGCGCCATCAGACTATCAAACTATTGGTTTGCCTTGCTGAAAATGACATTGGAGTGCGAGAGGCTAATGAGGCTAATGAGAGCCTCGAACCCTCAGAACAAAGTTCTGCTTTGTAAGTTGCAATTCAAGAGGTCTCAAATCTTCTTTCACGATGGTAACAATTGAGCGGGTGTCCTGGTGGGCAAATTGCATTCATCTTGAGGTTGTGGACGTGGCACTTGGAAATATCTATGGTCCTCTGTCATGCTTGGGCCATCAGGGGACACTTGGTGCATCTTGGAATTCAGACTCTAATTTGTGCCAGGTGCAGTCTTGGGGACGGCAGCCAGCGTGCTGGCAAAGACAATAAGTGAACCTTGGCACATTGACGCATTCTTGTTCAAGCGAGCATTCTTGTTCAGAATAGCATTCGGGAGTGGTGTCCCAGCAAGAACTTTTGTGGCTGGGTTTTGGTCAACACTACCGGTGGCCCCAATACAGGCTTCCTTGCTGTGTGGATTTGTCCCCATTTGTGCCCTGTATGCCGAGCAGCACCAGCTCGTTTGGCAGCATTTGCACTGCTTATTTATACACGCTGTTTGTGTTGTTTTGGGTTTGGCCCGCCAGGATCCAATGTTTTCAAGCCTTTTGGCCATAACCCTGTCGTTTTGGTTTGACCATCATGGGATGATACCTCACTTGCATGGATGTTGCAGTGGTCAACACACTAGCTTTGGAAAAGGGGTTTCAGGGTGAAACAAGTTGGTCGGCGACTGGGCACCAACAGTCACAACATGTCCCTGACATGATGATCTACTGTACATCACCCGGTTCTTTGTTTAAGTTGTAGGGAGCAACTTAAGTTTCCCCAAAAAACTAGGAACCAAGTGAATAGCGTGAGCTATCCTGCGTCCATGCCAGCTGCTAGTAGCTTGAGTAAGCTACTAGCTTACTTGACTAAGTAGGCGCCTACTTAATTAAGTAGGGAGGGGGGAGCGGGCTAAAGAAAGAAAAAGCAAGAAAAATTGTTAGCTGAGGCACTGGTGTCACTCTTCTTGGGTGGCTTGGCCAAATTTGTGGTGAACAGTTGAATAACGATCCTTCAATTAACCAGTTTATCATTTTCGTTTGGGTATGTCATTTCAGTGAATGTCCTTTTGTTGTGGCCTTCACGGCACATCCACGCACTGGATTCTAACTAGTGCAAAATCCTCAGCGGCACATTCATCCAACACATGAAATTCTTGGAGGAAGGAACACAACGGACTGTGAGGCTCACGATGCAGAATGGGTCATAGTAGCATCACTTGCACGAGTCAATTAGGGTTGACCGTTGATTGATTCAACATGTTTTAGTAATTCTAAATTGCACAATACAGCTCTTTCAGAAAGCGATCACACTGCTCGACTCCAGCTGCACGTCTCTTAGGCCGCTTGTTTGGACAGGCTGCACCTTTATGTCTTCGGCATGCGGAAATGAGACAGAAGTCGTTTGTTCAATGTACTTGACGTCGAACACATTTGACTCACCTGGAAGCTTCGTTGACATATTCATTTTTGCATTCTTTAGTTGACTTTGTTGTGATAGTAGACTCCACTTTGTTTGGAGTTGGAGTGCTTGAATGTTTTGAGGCCTTAGGCTTGGAGTTTCCTGCCGCCTTGCAGCGGCACATGGCCGCTGTGCAGAAGCGACCATTGAAAGCACTTTTTCTGGCAAGGCAAGTCCGCTCCGGTCCACACAAAGAGTGCCAGTAGTAACAGGTGCCTTACTAGTAGTAACAAGTGCCACGCTAGTAGTAACAAGTGCCTTACTACTAGTAACAAGAAGCTACTAGTTTCAAACAGAACTGTACAGAATTCAGTGCCGCAGAATTCTATATGATTACCCGCGCGCCTGTAAGTCGCACAGAGATGAGTTGTGCAACAGCAAAACTGCTAGACCCAACAACATATTTTTGTTTTAGCGTCCAAATCTTCAAGGTCCTGAAGGGTCCTGAAGGGTCCAAAGTTTCTCCTTTGGCTTTGCGCACAGTTAAAGTTAAAAAGCCCTGGTCAAAGGTCTGGCCACCAGCTTAGACAGGACAGAGAGCTGAGAGACAGGCTAGCTCTGCAAGTGCTTCAAACAAGCCCAACGAGCATCCGAACAGCTTTATCGGATGTTGTTGCACATCAACCGCCAAGCAACGAGTTCAGAGAGAATTGGATCAAAGCCAGCATTGGCCACTGCAATATGCCCAGGGCAAGAGATTGTCCTTGGTTTGCCTCTGTTGCTTGGAGATTGGCTGCGACGAGGGTTGCTGAGCAGATCGGTTGCGACAGGGGCGGGTGGCCAACGAGGAAGGCTACCAAACGATGTTGATTTGGCTCACTTCCGCAGGCAACTTTGAGCAAGTTGGCAAACTTCTCTCTTGCTCAGTAAAGGTGGAAGAACAGCAAACCAGCAGTGTCACTGCTTTCACCTACCACAGCATTGGAGGTGTTGAGCTAGCAAGCTGCTGTGCAAGCACTGCACATTGTGCTCATCAATTCTCGCAAGGAACCGGACATTTGATGAATCCAATGTGGTGTGCCTCAGCTGTGCTCTGACACGTCTCAATTGGTTAAGACCAGGCTGGCTCCAATCTCCACGGGCGTGAAGAACTACGCTCTATCCTTGCTCCCACCGGAGGACTGCATGTAGACTTGGTCTCAATGTATACATGAATTCCATTTTGTGTTTTGTTTGGAAGAATCCTGTAGAGGCTGCTCGGTCAATACTATCTAGCTGACAAAAACCTATGGGCAGAAGGTTTCCTCATCAAGCTGGTCCAGATGAAGGTCGTTTTGCGGGTACTTCCTTTTTATCTTTTCTCTCTCTCTCTCTCTCTTTCTCTGAGTCTCTGTCTATCTGTCTATCATTGTCTATCTGTCTATCCATCCATCCATCCATCGATCTATCTATCTATCTATCAATCAATAAATCAATCTATCAAGCCTCTGGTGCTCGAACTTGCCCGCCAGCGGGCGGGGACGGTGGCATGGCACTGCCGCTGATCATGCGGCTGGCTACCTGGCGTTGGTGGTGGGCGCTGGCGCTAGCGCTTCACCTGCAGCCACTGTCCACTATGCAGAGCACCCCCGGTCCCAAGTCCGGGATTCTTCCGCATCAGCTTCTCGGTGACATTCATCATGGAAACTGGAATAATAGAGGTGAGGGTAGAGGATCAGCTAGGGGATCCTCTGGAGGAGGCCACTTTTTTGTGTGGTCAGATGTTGCCTCACTCCAAAACACCTAGCAGAGGGCTCCAAGCGTCCCTCGGGACAAACCAGAATCCAAAATCCAAAAGTAGACAAACTTCACCGGCTTCGTAAACGTAGTTTTGACGGTTGCAATTCCACGGGTTTGCAGTGTATCGTGGAAGAGTGTTTGTTTCGCCTGTCCAGCATGACACTGTGAAGCATGCTCCAGTTCCACCACTGGCCAATACTCCTTCTCAACGCCGACCGCGACTGACACACCTTTGCTGGAACTGCTGCTCCTTGACTTCAGAGTCCTTCAGTGAGTTCATGCTTTGGGTCACGCTGCAACAAGTTGATCTGGTGTTCTTGCAATCTACCCACTGGTCCCTGGACCAACCATGGACCAGTCATGGGTATCACATCATCCTATCCACTTCACCGTCACTACCAAGGGATGGAGGTGGCCGCGCAGAGTTCTCAAGCATGCCCTGATCCATATTGGAGCACGGAAAAAGCTGTGGCATGCTCTGAACACCTGCTACGGTTACGGAAATACCATGGTAGTTGGGGGAGATTTTAACACTTCCCTGATCCCAACTCGACATGACAGATTCAATGATGTGGATATATTCAAAGATGTGCTTCGTACTTTTGGCCTCACCTCCTTGCGGGCACACGATCCGTCACCCAACTTCATTGGACCCAGAGGGCCCGTCATTGACTATGTGTTAAAGAGGCTCATGGATCTTTGTTTCTTCAACCTCTTCCCATGATTCATAGACAACACCCTGACCATCTACCCATCTTGAGTAGCGTCCTGGCCAACTGGAAGGTGCGGTATATATCTACCTCCAAACCAAGTGCCGCACTGACGAAAAACAATGTTCGACGCGTGACCATTGAATACAGAGCCAACACTGAGCGCTGGCGGGACTTCATGATGCAGGCTAAGGACCATCTGGCCCACTCGACTTCTCAGGACGTTCAGGACCCAGTGAGATGGATTGCAAGACTGGGTAAACAAATGTTCTCACAAGAAACCACCCGGAAGCTTCCCAGGTGGATGGAGGCCTTAAGGGCCCCGCAAAAGGCGGCGCCTGCACAGTTTGCCACACCTCGAACATGTTTTCAGGCTTGGCACCACGTCACTCAAGTTTTTCGACTGCATAAGCAATTGAAAACACATGGTGCGCAGCTGAAGAAAGACCGGACTCGAGCCATCATGGATGAAGCTGCCAGGGCAGCTGCTGCTCACGACACCAGAGCTCTATATCATGCCGTCCGCTCTCTCACCCCGAAGCAGGTGAGACGGACAGTTGTTTTGTGGCAAGCAATACTGGCAACTTGGCCTCGATAGTATGACGATTCAGATCAACAGTCACTTTGAGGCCACGGGCTTTCACCTTCCAACCAGAATGGATCTTGCGCCTGCGCTCACACTGCAGCATCTGTGGAAGGTTGGCCCTGGATCACGCATCTCTCAGACAGCGCGTGCAGCACCGCCACCCGGAGTACACTGACCTGGTGCTGAGGAAGAGGTACAGAAAGCTGCAAAAGCAGTGCAGCTCTCTCCCCTGCTCTGGATGCGGCATGAGGCCTCGGCCGGGGCCACAGCTCGGACTGAGCCATCAATGCCACGTTGAATTGAATGTGATGCTTGGCAAAGATTTTGTCCAGCAGGAGCTCAACCGATTGGGATCCATCACTGGGTCTCTTGCCACACCTATCACAGGTGGACTCGCAACTTAGCTCAATTAGTGACGCTGCTGCCGACTTGCGCTACGCAGCTGCTGTGTCTGTCAGCTGGCTTTTTTCGCTTGGCTGCTGACCTGCGCTGGCGGCTGCTCCGTGCGCAGACCAAGGCGCTGCTGATGAGTGAGATGATCATGAGCGTGGCTTGTACATTGTACATTTTTGCTTTTTGCTTAGTCGATTTTCGTTGATGTCCCAACTTTCTCGGTCTTCTTCACGTTTCATGGGACTTGCTGCCACCAGCAGTTGAAGCATCCATTGCTCCTGCTACCATGTTCTTGGGACCTTTTCATGCGCTTTTGTTTGGGTGTGTGCTGCAGCAGCTTTGCGCGCCCATGCTCTTTTTGACAGATAGCCTGATCAATAGGGCTCCACGAGGAGCTGGCAGATGGACTCCTGCCGCATGCCCGCAGTCGCCGGACTTCCGAGCGCCCAACTCAAACTCAAAAACTATCTATCTATCTACCTATCTACCTATCTGTCTATCTATCTATTTATCTACGTATCTATCTTTCTTTCTACCTAAATATGTGTTTTGCACGTGCTTGGAGCACGCAGCATGCGTAAAGCACGTACGTAATGTTTCGTGAGTACATTTCACGAGCCAAGCCGTATTTTGGTTCCAGTGTTGGCGAAACTACAGCGCCAAGAAGAAACATGCTTTTTGCTTTCATGCAGCCTTGAACTTTCTTCCTAGCCCCTTTTCGTGTTTTTGGCGGTTCCTGGTGGCAGCCTTTGGCTTTGATTGGGATCTTTCAGGGGGTGGGCCACTCCTTGAGGTCCTTGAAATGCCAACGGCTGACCTCCTCAAAAACTCAAAGAACCGGACCACCATGCGGTCCGCCCACTAAAAAGCTTCGGGCTGCAGGCGCCCGCCCTCTGTCGGTGGAGGTGACCGCTTGCCTTGCACAGCGTGAAGTAGAGCTCCTGCAACATCCAGTTCAGGCGGCGCTGTGGGTTTACATTTTCCCCTTATAGCGACCCGCTAATCCCTTCTACCTATCAAAAAGAAACCGACGTCCCCGTAATTGAAATTCTGGCGTCGTTTTTTGTAAATCGGGCGTTCCAAAAATGGGGGACCCGCGACGATGGACACCCGAAAAGAGCTCCACAACCGAAAAGCCGACTAGGCATATTGTCTATCTAAACTCCTTTATTAAATTCACATCAATATGGAAAAACCATCCAGATCGAAGGGTCTATTTTTCTTTTAACTTTACAAAACTCTTTATTGTCAATAATCTTTTACTTGTACGTGTTTCCATCAGACTACAAACAAAAGATGTCAAAAGGTGACGTTGCTGTGCCATGCGGTTTTGCCAGGCCTCGGTGGAAAGTGTGTTTGTGTGGTTCCGTGCCATGGGCTGCGTGTGCGAGTGTAAATGCGACATGTCGCTGCTGAGAGGCACTGTTAGTGGTGATTCTAGTGGGTGGGTACCGGGTACCTGATACAAAGAACTTGGGTCCAGTTCAGCAGTAGAAGTCAAGGGGGACAATTTAAGCAAGTCGTGAGCTGGAATTACGGGTGTCCGACATGCTTGCTTTATATACAGCTCTTTTCAAATAATAGGCACCTTCCTTCGGATGGGGTGTTTCTCAGTGCCTTTATTTGGTCTTTGGTCTACATAGGAGCGGGTGGGGTGAGTGGTGGAATTTTGGCTAACCCAGTCCCATGCTTGGATTCAGGACGGGTCGAACCCACAGAGAGGAAAACAAACACCTCTCACAAAAAACATGCGTGCAGCCGCTGCTTTCATTCTTACTCTATTTTGGACTTGCTGTTTCAAGAAACATATAAATAAACTGTACATACTATGTGTGCATAATGATCGTGTAGTTGATATCGCCAGCAGTTACTTTAATTATCTTTTCAATCGCGATAGAGCAGTGCTAACAACCTCCCCATCGTGGCCAGCGCCGTGTGAACAACTGCTGCGCAGGCAGAGGGCATGTGTTTTTTTAACAAGCTGACTGGCATAACTTGCCCTACCACCCAAAAGAGAACGACTGCCAGATTTGAGGGCGCGTTGCTTTTTCCTTGCTTCCACCCCTTTCCATTCTTTGTGTCTCGAGTCTCAACTCAACTCCTTCGATTTGCTCTGCAACAGGTGCTATCTCCGGGGTGTTGGTTCAGTGGGTCTGTTTTGTGGAACCCAGGGTTTCCGATGCCTTGAGCTTTGCAGGGAATTGAATTTGTTTGCTTTGCCCATTGCCCTGAAGTGCGGCGCGTTGGGTTTTGGCCTGTGTGGTCTTGAGTTTCATAGAGCTTGAACCAAGAAGGTTGGGAGGAGGTTCACCCAGTTTGCCCTTGCAGGGGAGGAGCGGACAGTGCCCTTGGACATTTTGGTATATTTAGTTAGTTTTGGACGTGGGCACAGGGGGGGATAAACGTCCGATCAGCGACCAGGATCAGTCACTGCTGGATCAGCGACCACTTTTCCCGGATCAGAAACCAACTTTCCCGGATCAGCGACCAACTTTCCCGGATCAGCGACCAACACCCCCCCTGGATCAGCGACCAGGAACTATAGGATCACTAGTGACCGATCCTGGCCATCGATCCGGGGTGATTGGTTTGGTTTGTTTTCCTGCTTTGTTTTCGTTTCCTTCCTTAGACCTCTCTGGCGACCGATTCTGACGACCGATCCTGTGTGGTTGGTTTTCTTTTCCGTTGCCTTCCCTAGACCTCTCTGGTGACCGACCCTGGCGACCGATTGCCTGAACGACCAGAAATCGCTGTTTTGGTAATACAGATCCACAGCACATCCCCAGTCTAGTCTGTTGTGCTTGACTGGCGCAAGTGGATTTGCGACTGTTTGGAATTCGTTTGAGCGGACTTGAGTGCAGCAGCTTTGCTTTCCAAATAGCTAGTTGTTAGGGCTCTGTTTCCAATGCCTTTCTGTTACGCGCAGGATTCTCTCTGTTTTCGGCGCTGTCATAGCAAAACGGGATCAAAGCTGGTGTAAATATCAACAACGCGGCTTGCACACACCCTCCCAAAAATAGTCCTTTGCGCAAACTTTGCATCTTGTCGAGGCACAAAGTATCCCAAACGATGTCACTGATGTTTATGCCAAAGGATCCAAGACGACAAACCACCCACGCTTAGTAAGCCGTGAAGTATGAGTGTGTGCTGTACCTGCCACATATGCAATCTGGACCTAGAACAAAGGGCAAGAAGCTACTAGTAACAGAGGGCATCGCTACTGGGAACAGAGGACGCTACTAGTAACTCTTGGCCATCTCCAACCTAATGGCAATGGCCTCCTGGATGGAGACTACGATGCAGCGGTGAAATGCTGCAGCTCACTGGAGGCGCAGGACATCTCGGGGCACACCGGAGACATTCTGTGCGATTGGAAGGTGTAAGTCTAGGAGGATGCGAGCGCTGTGCACGTGCAGTATGGGACATTCCCAATCTTTTTAGATCAATAGCGCACGGCAAGCTTTGCGGCGGTGACTGTACCCATCTGTAGAACAAAAAGACGCTCCCTGAGTCCAGCTTTTTTGTCTAAAATATCTGAACTCAAGAAATGCGTGTTTGATACCCACATAGTTCTTGGTAGGGAAGGAGCAGTCCAACCATTGGGAGCCATCTTCCATGAAGATCTCCAAATCACCCTTCTGCAAACACTTTCAATTTTGTTTTGCTGCCTCAACACAAACTTGATCCGATTAGAGGGCAGGAGGGCACCATATCAGCTCACTGACCACCGGTCCGGGATCCGATCGCCCAGTAGCACAGGACTTGGCCGAACGGGGGCGCGGCCTCTCGAGCGGCGGCCGTGGGTTCCAGGTTGGGGGTCCTGGGGTGGTAGGTTGAAACACCCACACAGGTGTCAACACACCACAAAAGCAACGAAAACAACCACCAGGCACCACCATCACCACTAGTACTGGCTTGGCGTTTTAGGTTAGGGTTCAAGTCAGGTGTTCAGGTTTTAGGGTTAGGTTTTTCGGTTTAGGGTTTCTACGGCTACAAATACAACTATTAGTATGAACTTCTGAACTTTATCACTACTATTACTACTTTTGCTTCCACACGACTTCTACTTCTACTACTAGTGGTACTACTACTACTACTTCTTCTTCTACTACTACTACTCCTACTACTACTACTACTGCTGCTGCTACTACTACTACTACTACCACTACTACCATTATACGTTTTAAGGGTTAGGTTTTAGGGTTATGGTTACGACTACTACGGCTATTTTTATTTCTATGATTACTAGTATCACTATTATACTTTTACTGCCATTACTATTACTACTACGATACTACCACTGCTGCTACTACTGCTACTACTACTACTACTAGGTTGTAAGGTTAAGGTTTTTAGGGCTAGGTTTTAGGGTAAGGGTTTTTACGACTACTACGACTACCATTTCTAATATTACTCGTGTCACTGTTATACTGTTACTGCCATTACTATTACTAGTACTAGGCTGTAAGGTTAGGTTTTTAGGGTTGGGGTTTGTGGGACTACTACGACGACCATTTCGCTGGTCGATGGCGGCTTCTGAGAGCCGAAGCTCCCCAGCAAAAGGCCTGGGCTTGGACTGGTCAGTAGTGTCGGGGATGCCATCAGTAGTAGGGCTCATCTCAGGGTTGGAAGTCCGAGAACCTGAAGGGGCAAGGGTTCTAGCTGTTCAAAACATTGTCCTTCAATCAAAAGAAGTCAACTGAGTTCACAGCCAAGTCACTTGATTGCGCACGGGTTCTTTTTTGGGTCTTGGGTGGAGGTGGTTTTAAGTAAGACAGGTCCTTTATGGAATTAAACCAATCCTTCAAAACCATGCAAACATTTTGAGTTTCCCCACACTATAGTATTTGCTTTGGCAGTCACTTGCTGAAGCATCCGCCTCCGATCCCCCGGCGACATGCTTGACACAGGCCCTGTCAATGATGGATTGAGGTCCTCAAACTTTGGCGCCTTGGATTGAGGAGGGGGTTGGGTGGCCCAGGATAGCCGGCAGCGAGTCACAGCAAGAAAGGTCACCACCACTGCTGACCAGAGCAGCATCGGTGCCATCATCAATGGCTGGCTCATTTGCACCATCCAAACAGCCGGCGCAAACTTGTAACCTACACACGGTGAGTGGATGGAAAAACCTTGGGCGCAAACTTAGGCGCCTAAACACCTAGTATTAATAAATCTATTGGGCCAGCTAAACTGGGAGTGAAGGCGAGCAATCGCTCGGATACTTGGATCTCCTTCCCAAGCAATTACAAGGGGCGACTCAACACCAGCCGCCATGGGAACACTTTCCTAGGGTCCTAACAGCGCCTTTTGTAGCTTGAAGTGGCGTTTTATGGAGTGAGCGTGCAACATCACCGATTGTGCTTCTGCTGCTCCCCCCAGCAGCAATCATGCCAGTCAGACCTCGGCCACTCCATCCAAGGATCAGCCCGACAGCTACAAGAGAATGGAAAAAGAGTGATGTGCACTGGGCACTGCGGATGTTCTAGCTGGATGTGACCACTGAACTTGGGGGCCTTGTGCCATTGGAAGTAGTGGTTCGATGACATCCCTCACTGTCAAGGACACAAGAGGAGTCAAGAAAGCCTTGCAAACTCGAGGTTCGCAAAAAGCACCAAAGTGTGAAACACTTTCGAGAGCCATAATTATTGCCGACTCCTCCAAAGAGCTATAATTCTTGAAAGAGCAGAAATTCTGCACACTTTGGACGTGGCAGGTACATATATACGCAACTTACCATTTGCGAGTTCTAGGCGTTCCGCCGTTTGCGTTTTGCGCGGCGAAGCGGCTTTTCAATAACCCGTTTTCAATAACCCGTTTCTTGAGTTTAAGAAATTGAGGAAAAAAGTCTGGACTCACCGTATGATCCGGCACAGTTGTTTTGTTTCTTTTTCTTTTCCGTAGCTACACCTCTCCTACACCTCTCTGGTGAACGATCTTGGCTACCGATCCGCTGTGTTTGGCTTGGTTTGTTTTCCTTGCCTTCCCTAGACCTATCTGGTGACGGATCCTGGCGACCGATCCGGTATGGTTGGTTTGGTTTGTTTTCCTTGCCTTCCCTAGACCTCTCTGGTCACCGATCCTGGCGACCGATCCGGTATGGTAGGTTGGTGTGTTTTCCTTGCCTTCCCTAGACCTCTCTGGTGACCGATCCTGGCGACCGATCCGGTATGATTGGTTTGGTATCTT